AGGAACAAGCTTTTGTACAACCTGGTGATAGCCCGTGAAATGTGGCTCGTGGTTTTCCTCAACTTATTTCAGCAAACGAAATGCACAAACCGATGAGGATGCAAGTAACTTACTAGGGCTACCATATTCCCTAATATTCCGATGCGATCCTAGCATGTGTCACATACTTGTTCCACCCCCCCCCTCAGAATACAGTATACACACACATCACTTTTATCACGGTGACCGTTTTGAGAAGGCTGCTATGGTTGCGCACGCACCGTTCTGCCATGTTACCGACATTCCCCCAAAAGCAGGAGAAGTGGCAGGTACGATGAGATGCAAATCATAAACATAATTACATCAAAATGACTGGATGAACAACAAATCCCCAAAGTGTGGAACCAGAGACACATTACCCAGATTTTCAAGGAAGGTAGCCGTTCGGAAACGGCTGGATATCTTCCAGTGTTTCTCCTCCCAGTACTCACAATTTTGATGGAATGGATCATTGTTTGGTTACTAGTGGGCTACTACGAAATGTCTAACATTATAGCGCCTGCGCAACAAAGCATTCCGTAAGTATTGATCACGTACTGCCGATCTATTTATTGCGCGTAGCAGCTGGACCAATAAAGCTGATAGTGGAACCAGCACAAATGTCACCTACTTCGACTTTGCCAAAGTATTCAACCGATTAGATCACCTCACTCTTCTCCGAAATCTGCAAGCGTATGGAATTGGAACCTATGTCCTTGAATGGATTGGTATTTTATTCGTAAGCTGTAGCATCCGCTTCCGGTTAGGGCTTTTTCTGATTCTATATATTTAGACTGCGGTAGTCCACAAATATCAGTGTTGTTGTTTCACTTATTCTTGTACTTCATTAACGAAATTACGCATCCCATCAATTCAAATTTTCAGATTTTGCCGTTGACATCAAAATATAACAAGCGATCGGGTTAGCTAGATCACGATCTTAGGCTAGGAGATTTAGATAGCGCTTTTGAATGTTCAATTACAAAGTCATTTCCCTTTAATTCGTGTAAGTTCAAAACTGCGCACGTAAGCCACAAGCGCACTTATACATGTAAATTGGAGGCCGCATGTTGAAAAAGGACTTTGGAGTGGTAAGGCAAGACGACCATGGCTATTCGATGCAATTCTTGAATTTGTCCTAAACCCTGGATCGGTTTTTGGTCTCTAACGGATGACGTTCGGTCTGTTCGATCCCACTAATGTTTCCACAAAGTCGCTATACATATATGGCGCTATAAGTAAATTACTCGATTCAAGCCTGGTAGCCATGTTTAATGAGCGCCTTTGATACATTGGAGACCCCACAGAGAAGGGCAGTCAAATATGTTGGATGCTTCTTTCACCTGCTATACCATCTATGATTGAATACTCTAGGCGTGTAAAGTGCAAGTTATCGCCGTCTATGAAGCGACTTCATTCTAGTGTACCAGATCTTATCAAACCTTGGTCATCATTGACACCGTCTTCTAAAATGTAGCCGCAGCACAAACTGGAAGGGTCACCATTTGATACTGGCTACAAAATACACTCGGTTGGAATGCTGCCGAAATCATTTTACACCTTGAATTCGTCAATCGTGGAACGCGCTCTCTACTTTTGTCATACATGCACCTAAGCTACTCAGTTTAAAAACCGAAAAGATGGTGTGTCAAACAATCTGCATTACTTGCGTTTTATTTCCTTTCTTTGAGTGACGAAAATGTTGTTGACCAACATTGTGCGTACGAACCCCCACCAAGTCGGTATAGACGGATATACTTTTGTGTCAAAGGGGATAATATGGTGAGTCCATAGATGCGCATTTCACTTAATTGCAACTAATGTTTTAACTTAGGCAATTCGCGCTGTCCACCCCCAGGATCAGTCAAGCCTGAGCTTTTATCTGTT